GGGAAAAGCAAATCAGGGCAAGATAAACAGTTTAGGATTGTCTAGTTTGAATAATTCCTTTGGGCATTAAATGATAGGGATGGTAGCTAGTTGCCTAGACCTGGCCCTGGGATGATTAAGGCAGAGGAATATTTTCTCCTGGGGTATAGTGACCAGATAGAGGAGGTCTGGCTCAGGTACAATGTCCTGGCTGGGTCTTCTTCTTTCTCTAAAAATTGGCTGTTCCCAGGAGAGGCAGTCTTGCCTCAGCCAGAAAGGTTTTTGAAAGATACCAAAACATCATAATATTCAGAAAATAAAAACATTAAAACATGCTTAAAGAACAACTCTGATGTTACCCCAGATTTTGCAGTGGAATATTGTAAAATGAGCTATATACTTGTTGTATATCTGTAAGCATTCTCTTAAATGGGAAGCTACTCTGCCCTTCATGGTATATAACTTGTAGAGCTTCATCTGAAAGAGTGTCTTTCTTCTGCCCAGATTGTTCACCAAACTCACTTCCAGATCATAGGTATGGTTATGGTGTTAGAGTTCTCCAGAGAAGTAAAACCAATAGAATGTGTACATAAAAAGAGAAGAACAGATATTTTTTAAAGAATTGGATTACATGATCATAGGAGTATGGAAGGCCCAAAATCTACAGGGTAGGCAGACATAATGGAGATGCAGGGAAAAGCTGATATTGTGCCTTGAATCTGAAGACAGTCTAGATGCCAAATTCTCTCTTCCTGAAGGGAGCTTAGTCTGTTTTCTCTTAAAATCTTCAGCTTATTGGATGAGATAAACCCCCATTAGAGAGGGAAATCTGCTTTACTCAGAGTGTACCAAATTTAAATGTTAATATCACCTGAAGATATTCACAGCAATATCTGGACTGATGTTTAACCATATTAACTGTGTACTATAGCTTAGCCAAACTGACTCATAAAATTAACCATCACACATGTCTAGCTGAACAATATGCTGTAAGGTGCGATAGTATAAGTCAGAGAATTCCCATAAGAACAATGGCCTGGAACCCAGAGACGATTATTATTGCTGGTCATATTTGCACACTGGCTTGTTTGCTCTATCTGCACTTCTCAAAGACTACCAAATTATGACTTTTTAGGGCCTCTTCTTGACAGACAATTCTCTATGTATCCCTCACATTTTTGCATCAGTTAGAGTGAGGTGTCTATTGACCTTTATTCCAGAGTATTCTTAAAAGGATGTTTGTAGAGGAAAGAGCCTTAAGAGAAGAGAGAGTGTCTCTTCAGTGCAAAGGGCAGGCTTGCTTACTGCCCATTATGAAAGAGTTGGGTTCCCAAATCAGAATTCTCCTGTAAGATGTTCTGCTGTTTGGGAAGGTATCCATAGGGCCCATCCCAGCCACCCCATGGGACTTTGGAGTAAAGGAAACTGACATCAATCTGCTGAGGACCATGCTGCCTGTTGTGCCATGAGTAATGAAGTCCTTTATATCTGACTTACAAGTCCTGTACCTTCTACTATCATCCATGAAACAATAATGGGCTAACTTGTTAGCTTGACAGTAAAGTAAAATCTCAGTTCTTAACAGTATCTGAAACCTTTCATTTAATTATCATCTTCTTGATAATTATGATGCTGTGGCACTTTCTCTACTCTTTCATGTGCTCACTGCTGCTGCATCAAAGGTTAAATATCTGAAAGTCATAGAGAAACAATTTGTGTCACCCTACTCCCAAACTGAAACTGTCAATGCCCTTTTGATAATAGAAGGAAACCACTGTGTTTTAATATATTCTGTTAATTCGGAAAATAAGACCCTTTTATGTACTTTATATATCTCTTTGAATGAAATAGCAAAGTACTTTCTTTATTCTGTTTGTGTATTCACCCTCCATGACCTAGTAACTAAACTGAGGAAAGACCTGGAATGAAAATGAGGATGAAAACTTCAGCCTCAGTTGGTCACTGGGGACAAATGATGTAGAAATCATTAGTCTGGACAAAGACTTCTATAACCCCAGGAGATAGAAAATTCAGCAGACAGATTTTACTCCCACACTATATTAATTCACTTATGTCAGATGAATAGAATCTGTGATCAGGCCATATTGAATTGCACAAAGAGAATTTGTATTAATTGAACTATACAAATAATGAGGCAGGAAAACTGTCCAAATGTTGACTATGTGGCAAAGTAAGGCATCCCTGTCTCTAAGCATGTCTACACACATACTGCTCATCCAGTTATTTAAGGCATGTGACCATACTCTGCACTCAGTATTCTTTTTGTAATACTTCATTACAACTCAGAAAAACAAACAAACACGTTCATCTAAGGATATGAAGAATTGGATGCATTGGAAACATATAGTCACTCTGTTTTTATAATGGCAATTGTGGGGTGTAATTTCTTATTCAGTTATTCAAATTACATTGTAAATCATCAAGACTTATGGATTACATTGAAGATCTAGCTTATGTACCTTAAAATTAAAGCCACTGCTCACATCCTAGCCTTTCTTTCTTTTTTTCTTTCTTCTTATTTTTGGACCCATTTTCTTTAGATCTTATTTTAAATATATAAAATTTTCCTCTTCTGTTCCATAAATGTATAATAGGTAAAAATCACCCCTGAAATGATATTTGAGTTTTAGAAATATGATTTTTCTCCACTTTAAAAAAAATGCTTGTTTTATCTAGGATAATTGTTTCATTGCTATCATAAAAGACTAGATAGGCAGGTAAAGGGAAGATGATAATAGCAATGATATTGTTAGCAAGAACATTAATACCACATTTATATAACATTTACTATGTGCCAACTATTAAGAATTTTACATACATTAATTTGATCCTCAAAGCCTGTGAGATAAACACTATTATCACAACCATTTTAAAGATCAGGGTTTTAAAGAATAGAGAGGTTAAATAACTCGCTCTGTGATCCTAACCACTACCTTATACTTCTATAGGAAAAAGAAGTTTTTCAAAGACAAAATGAACAAACAAATTAGTGACAAGATCCTCCCAAGTTCTGTGTTTTAGAGTTCATTTCCATTCCACCCTTACTTATTCACAACTGACGCTGTATATACTTTCTCTAGTTCATGTTGGTCCCTGGTCAAAATGCAAGAAATATTACCAAACAATCATTTTAAGAGAGAAAAACAAGATATATTCCTTTCAAGCAGGACTCATAAGGAAAATAGCCAGGAGATATGTATATATATTATATATATATATATAAAATAAATTAATAAAAACTAACATATTGAGAATTTACATTATTGCAAACAGTATGCTATGTGTTTTACATGCAGCAGCTAATTCACCCCTTGTTATCACCCTATGGAATAGGTGCTATTATCATCTTCAATTTACCAGTGGAGAAATTAAGGATCAGAGTGACTGAGTTGCTTGCCCAACTGTTAGAAACAAAGTTTCAATCTACATAGTATTGTACCTGCTTCATATGAAAACAAACTAACAAAAATTTAAAGTCTCAAGTCAGATGTCAAAAGGAAAAGTGGAAGAAGGAAGGTTCCACACTGGAGTAGATTTCAAATGTAATACAATTTTTGGAAACCAACTAACAAGATAAAAATCAGCCACAGACTATGATAAATAGCAAAGAAAAGAGTAAACAGCTACTCTTTTTCTATTATGCCAGAGCAGGAAAGTGCTCAGGAAAATTAAGTGTCAATAAACTAAAGACAAAATTAAACTTTTTCTCTAAGCATAGGCACAATTAACCTCTGAAAATTACTCATATTGGATGGTAATGAAGCAGACAGCTTTGTGAAATTGAGAACATATCTGATTCACTATAATGGGATTTTCAGTTAGATCAAATCACACATTGTGTTAGTCATTCTGAGTCAGGGCACATGCTGATTAGCAGAAAGGGTCACAAAAGAAAATTTTATTTTTGTCCAAGGCCAGAAAGGTCATGATTAAAGAATATGATAATAGCAACTCTGTATTACTTCTGAATATGAAGGAATGCCATGTAGATTTCCCAGTCTCTAGTGTGCTACTACATATTGCTTTTCCACCAAGTTGCAGTTCTCTACCTCATACCCGGAGGCAATGAAAAAAAAAAATCCCTGATTTTGGAAGAAAAGGAGTTCACAGTAACTTCTCACGCAATAGAGAGATGGAACGACATTATGATGTAGAGGACAGTTTGGGAGGTGGCTTACAAAGTGGCAAAAAATGAGGACAGGACTCGCCACAGGAATAGTGCAGTTTTAAGGATCTCCACATTAGGGATCATCTGACTTGGATTTTTATCTCCATTCTACCACTGCTTGCGTGGTAAAAGACTATAAGCCTCCACTTTAAAGTGTTAAGAGTTTCTTCTTCTGTGAAGGGTTTACATTAGTTTAACTCATAAGATGATATATTTTTAGTGTTATCTTGAGTGATCACTGCCTGTATTTTAGATAAGCCTGTAATAGTGTCCCTTTTAAAATATAATAAGTCCAGAATATACAGAAATATTTCAGTGTCTCCTTGAGATTCTCTGTTTATGCAGTTCCATGATAAAAGCCCGTTCTGGGCTTTCAAAGTGTTCTTCTGCTGGACCTTTTCATCTCTCGGCAAAAGGGCGTTCATATTATTTTGATTACTCAGATTACATATTATAAGTTGGAACATGCTTACTTTTTGAAAATATTACTTGTTAATATTTGATTTTTCTTCATCACAGTTTTCATCACTGTGTTTTTGCTCTGAGAACTTATTTCACCCTTTTTAGCTCTCATCACTTGTATTTTCCTGTTTTTTCTGCGGATCACTGTTTCAATTAAAGTATATCAAGAGAGGGCTGGTTACTCACACAAAATGTCATTCAAAATAAAATGGATAAATATTGTATGGAATGATAACATTTGCAAAAATCAACTATAAAGAATTTGTGGATCAGAATTATTTCCTTTTTGAATTAAACTTTTTATTAAGTAAAACATATGCAGTGGCCACTATTATAATATTTGTTTCTTTCTTGTTTTTTATTCTTGTAGATCTAGATAATGTGGAGGGCATTGCTGTGGACTGGATTGGAAATAACCTTTACTGGACAAACGATGGCCATAGGAAGACCATTAATGTGGCCAGGCTGGAAAAGGCTTCTCAGAGTCGGAAGACTCTTTTAGAGGGAGAAATGTCCCATCCCAGAGGGATTGTGGTGGATCCTGTTAATGGGTAAGCAGTATTTGATCAGCTTTATATAAGGAAATGTATATTAAATATTTTTTTTACATATTTGGTAGGACTAAGTTTTATTTACATTCACATATGAGTGGCCTGTATGGAAAAAGTTACTCATTTAGTGATTTCCTCTTTTAGAGAATGTGTTAAATAAACGTGTCAAAATACATTGAACTGAAATAAACAGATTATTTGTATAAAAGATATATTTACTTGATATATCCAGACAAGCACCATAATTCTCCATTGTAGACAGTCTGACATCAAGATAAATAATGAATTCAATCAGAGAAGCAATCAATTAATTTTTTAAAGGCTGTTGAAATACAGTAAAAAAAAATAGCAACCTTTTTTGTACACTTACTGTGGATGAGGCATTTTGTTAAATAGGTTACTATGCTCCTATTCTGTAATCCTCACAATAATCTTTTGAATTAGTTCCCATTCTTATCTTTGTTTTACAAAGAAGAGATTGCTAACTGATCTTCAAAAGACCACTAAATTATTAGGAGACTGGCATATGCATTTAAACTCAAACAGTCTGCCTCCAAGACTTTACTCATAGCCCCTATACTCCATTACTTTTTACAAGGTCAGGTTGTTAATCATATAATTTTAGACATAACCATAGTTTCCATATAGTGACATCATTTTATGATATGTGCTACTGTTTGAGGATGGAATATTTTTGTGCAACTTTTAGACATATAGGCTCCTCCTTTCATTTTTATTCAGAGCTCTTATCTGAACCTAAGTAATACTATTCATATAGAAATATTGAAGAAATGTGAAAATCCCTAACAAATCTCAGAATTAGAATGGCTTGTGCATTTTACATGTATAATTGTTGGTGTGGTGTTTATCCCCTCTATGGCTTATATGTCACTGTTTCAGAATAGCATCACAAAATAAATATTCTTTATATTTTATTACACACATAAAAATAATCTTAATTTAATAGGATGCATTTACAAATACCTTGTAAACTGAAATTGCCAAAGTGCAGGTACTAGAAATGTTTCTATTATGCTTCTTCCTAAATTGACACCTAAGCAGTATATAAGCTCATTTTATGTTCTTGTAAGGCATAATTATAAAGCTTTTCAGTGATTTTATGTTTGGATTCTATAAGTATCACTTCTATTCCTGGACTTTTAAACCAAGTTGTCTATCTGACCTTTAAATTAAGGCAATCTTAATTTTAAGAGAAAATATTTATTCCATACTTAATCTGCTTGAAGCAAGATGATTCAAATTTGTCTTAAAATAGTATCTTTCTTCTCAGTATTCTGTTAGAGAAAAATATTTTCTGATAGAGTTAAAAAGGTGGTTTTGGTGCTCAGGGAAAAGACATAAATGTGGAAGTCATAGAATCACATGATTTGGAAGGAAATAGAAGACACTGGTCTCTCTTCAAATCCAGGAATCCTTTTCAACATTTCCCAAATATCGAGACATCTATTTGATGCCTTCTGTAGATTTGAAGGCATCAAATATAAGGCACGTATAGATTTGAAGCCTGTAACATCTACATAGCTGTCATATCAATTCTGATATGACCTTTTTTCTTTTCATTAGGCAATATTTACATCCCTGTAAATCTGTCTTGCAACTGGCCCTATACTTAGCTCTGGTGCTACACAGAACGACTCTTAAATGTCTTTATCAGAAAGATTTTCAAATAAAATACTGCTATTATGCACCAACCTGAAAAACACATGCACATACACACAAACACACATTTTTTCCCCTAACAATATAATATGCCCAGAGCTCTGCCCTGGGCATACAATGGTTAACAAAACAGGCTTGGACTGAACCCTTACAAAGCATCCCATGCCACCTGCAAGGTGAGGAGTGGGGAGATGGAGCAATAAATGAATACCAAATAAGCAACTAGACCAAAGTAATGGAGGAAGACAAACAGGTGGGCAAATGTGGAGACTTAACAGATAGCAAGACCTGTTTAAATAGATTGGCTGGAAGTTCTCTCTAAGGAGGTGTCATCTGAGCTGAGACTTAATCATAGAGAAGGAACCAGCCATGGAGAATGAGGGAAAGAGTATTTCAGATCAAGAAACTGGTAACATTTGAAGATGTTAAGTTGAGCAAAAACTTGACTGTCAGAGGAACTGAAATGAAGACAGTGCGCTGGGCTGTAGATTTAGGGGGAAGGTGACAAAGATGTAATTGGAAAGGAAAGTAGGCCCTTGTCTGCCACGATGAGAGCTTTGTATATTATCTTCAAGGCAAAGGTAAAATAGAGAAGTCATGTAATCATATTTACCTTAAGGAAGAAAAAGCAAAAAACTGATTTTACTGTTCTGTAGGGTTGGATTTGAAGATAGTAGAAGTAAAATAGAAACATGTGAATTTAATTACCCAATTGTTTGACCCTAACATAATTTCCAGAAAAGAAGAAACTTTACTAGGAAAAAGCCCATTTAAAATAGAATCATGTAACTTTTAAGCAAAACATTTTCAGAAAAAGCACTCTGCTTTAATCACACTTTTTTTCTGCCATAACCCCTATTTGCACCTGTACACAGAAGCAATCACCGATTTTCTTTACGATGATGACCTATTAACAAAAAGTACTCAATTCAGAGATATGCTTTATCAAAATCGTCATAACCAATTACCAAATCAGTAAAGGATTTGTTTATTTATTTATTGAAATATATTATGATTAACTACCATATATATCAATAGAAGTCAGGAATGGGATTTGCAAATGAATGGAGTTGGTCCCAGAGACTTGAGATGTACAATCATAAGGTTAGTCACTGCATTCTGAAGGGACAGTATAACTAATTGTTTAGAGACGGGCATTTTGTGGAGGTTTTGTGGTGAGAAGAGTTCATTAAGGATAGAGCAGAGGGCATATGAAGGAGCATAATAGGAGGTGAAGCTAAAAATATGGGAAATCATCATGTTGTCATTAAAAGTTTGAATTTATTTTGCTGACAACAACAGAGTAATTGGAAGGTTTGGCGATAAAAGTCACATTTTTCAATTCATGACTTAGGAAGACAAGTGGTAGCAATATGACAGCTGTCTCAGAAACAATCTGTTAGGAGTTCCTTTGAAGAGGGATTAAAGACCAACTAGCATTTGTAAGTAGGAACAGAAAAGTGGGGATTAAGACTGGAGACACTGAAAGAGTAAGATTGGCAGGCCTCAACAATTGTTGACATGGAGGTAAAGCTGAACAGGAATCTCTTATGATGACACTGTTCCTCAAGCAGGTAACTATAGATGAATTCCCTCCTTTCCAATAATTTCACATTGCAAAATTTATATTAATAACTTAGAAACCTGTATCTCTAGTTCTTCTGACTTCTCTAAATATTATCTATATGAAATATGTGTGATTCTGAGTGCATATTTTCCACAAACAGGATCTGTATTCCTATCTCAATTAGTAATAGTATGCACCTTCTAGTTAACAGATACTATCTTAGCAACTAAAACAAGTTTTTCAATACTAAAATTCATTTTACTTCCATGGCAGAGAAGCTCTTAATGATGTAAATATTTATAGGTTTGACCACCAGACAATACAATTTAATTTGGGGACATCATTAATATTAAAAAAAGCCAAACTTAGTGTTACAAGGTACAAATATGAACCAGAAATAATCCCTATCCATAATTATTTTAACTTTTAATTGGAATCATCAGCATGCAACCCTATCAAATTTAATACAAGGCACAAATGCAATAACTATGATCAAGTAATTAAAAAGTGTCACTATAAACAAGGGAAAGAGCTTATTGTGATAGAGTGTAGGTATAGACTTCATCAAGATACTGTATCTGAACAGGTCTTGAAAAGTAGAGTTACAGTTTCTTTTGCCATATTATCAGAAGGCCAGCTTAATCTAATTGTTAACTTGCTATACCCCGCGTCCCACCTACAAAGAGATTTATAGTACTTCCTGATTATTTCCTAGGTCATATTTTTTATTTTGTGTGTTTAGGATTCATCTCATTTGATATTGATTATAAGGCTTTCGCAATATAAATTTTAATCAGATAACAAATGGGAGGATGATGATCAGATAACAGTCTCTGACAGATTGGCATCACTTATTTAAACTGTTTTTCTTATGTTTTGTTTGAATAAAAATATTCTTAAGTAATATATCAGATCACAATTATTTCTTCAAATAGCAAAACGATACAAAATATTGTTTTAGAATACCCTGAATTATCCCTCATCTGTGCATGTGAGTGCTCACACAAATGGATGTGTGATTTGGGAAAGAGAGTCACAGAAGAGAAGAGTGTTGCTATGATCAAAAGGAAAAGCTAGAGGGAAAGATAATTGCAATTTTAAAAAGTCATTAATTGGCAACCACAATAAATCTTTATTGACTAGCCATATTTAAGATTTTGGAAAAGTTTAGTAGAGACAAGAAATCTGTATATTTCCTCTTTACAAAATAACTTTATACAGTGAAGTCAAGTGGTCATACCTGTAACTGGTGTAGGATATGAGCAAATAGAATGATTCTTCTGTTTGTTCCTACAATGGCCCAATAATAAAACCACTTGAAGAACATTCAGGATGCAATATAAGCATATTACTATATGCTAATAAATTAGTTTATTTCTAGCATTAGAATGTATTTTAACTTAGTAAAGTTCACCAATCTCAATATACTCCCTCAGGTCTAAAAAGGCATGTCAGCATTGTTGTAAACTGTTAAGATAATTTAAAAAGAGTTTGACTGGTATTAAGTAATGGATGGTATGTTAAATCCTCAGTTGTTCCAAATCTGCCTGTTTAGATCACAGTAGGATTTTTAGTCATGGAGACAGATTTTTCCCAAATTACCTCAGACATTCTTTAGTGCAGGAGGCAGACGATCTAATAAGGGCATTTCTAGGGTCAGCAGCTTAGAAAAGCTTTGGAGTTTTAGAAAGCTGTGTATGAGGTGAATGAATTAAAACCTACCATTTAATTAATAACTCAGGAACTTTCACATGACCCTAAAACAACACATGTGGAGAGTTTTAACCTTATTCGTGAGGGAACTGGAACTTTAGCTCAAAGCCCCCTCTCCCACTGTTAGAGCTCACACAAAAGATTTGTTTTTAAAGGTAGATGCTTTTGTTGGAGATAGAAATTAAAGTTCAACATCTCAAGGTCAGTCAACCTGATGTTATTAAACTCATGTGCAGCTAAATGATTTTCTGTGGGTTTTGTGGGGGGTAATAATGCCAGCAATAAAACACAGATAATTTGCATCAGAAAGACAAATTAAAACCTGGCCAAACAAACCCAGTGTGACTGTGCCCTGTAGAACAAAGACAATCCAACTGACAGCTTTAAAAAAATAATAATTAATGTGACATTGAGTAAATTCTGGAGTATATCATAACTATGCCATGAGTTCTGTTAGTCACTCTACTTTTTTAATTATATAATTGATTATATGTTTTATGAAGTGGACAATATTTAAAAATAGTAATGCCTTAAATCCTTTTAAGTGCCTCAAAAATCATTTCCCAAACTTGATATCAATGCCAAAGGAAACCAGTTCTGGCACTTACTGTTAGGTTAATTAGTATATAAGGCCAGTGAGTGTGGTAATGGTAGTAGTGGGTTTTCTATCCTGGGCTAAATAGAGTGGCTTCACCAAACAAACCTTTACCTCCTTTAGTGCTTCAATGCTGCCCCCTCCCCTTGGCAGATAAGCGTTTAGATAGGAGAATAATCCAGAATGTGATGAGATTTTAGGAAGGTGCCAAGCCTGAAGAAATGTTGCTCTCTGTGGTGGCTGGTAGCAATAACGTATGTGCTCTTGTTTGTAACATCTTAGTTGGATGTATTGGACAGACTGGGAGGAAGATGAAATAGATGACAGCGTGGGAAGGATCGAGAAGGCCTGGATGGATGGCTTCAATCGGCAGATTTTTGTGACTTCAAAGATGCTGTGGCCAAACGGTTTAACTCTCGACTTTCACACCAACACATTATACTGGTGTGATGCCTATTATGATCATATTGAAAAAGTGTTTTTGAATGGAACTCACAGGAAGGTAAAAGACAAATGCTGCTGTTTTCATGCCACAGGCTGCTTCTTTCTCAGGGCCTTGTTGTGCTGTGTTAAAAATACTTGAAAGTTTATTTTTACCCCTCTGAGGTGGCTGCCAGTAGTCTCTGTGGGGTGGCTAATGGAGCCTGAGCATTAAGTACTGCAGCTGGCACTTGGCTCCGGGAGACCAGTCCCTGCTCACTGTGGTATGCCAGGATTTGTGGGATTTTTAAAAGAAGCTCTCAGGATATCAAGAGCTGGTTTAAAATGCAGTTTTTCTACATTACTGATGAGTTTGCTAAGACCAAGCAACCCAGCTCTATTCAAATATCCTCAATATTTGCAGCTGAAATTTAACCTATATATTATGAAAAAGTAATTATGATGCATTCATCTGAGTGAAGAATTTTATGACATTGGAACTGAAACACAAGAATAAACTGAACTTCAAGCCTTATTGGTATGAATAGATACCAACTTCTTGCTTCATTTGGTAGAATCATCACAAAATGATTTCCAAATTCTTGGTGAAACTGAGGATGCAGCTGACTGTGTGGCAGAGGCAGTGTTCACAAGAATACCACCTCTATATTTTATCTTATAATTATTTTAAGTACATAGAACATTATGACCAGACTTCATCTGTTTAGTTAAATACTGGAGAAAAGAAACAATAAAAATTAACAAAATGCTTCCTTTGACCTTGCACTTTCTTCTACTTTGGAAAGAAAGACTGCACAATTGGTGAGCCGATTCATCTCGAATTCTGTTTGAGAAATAAATAGTACACTGATGAGTTAAGACTATTTCACTCATTGCTTGACTCTAACAGTGCTTGAAATATTTTTCCCAAATAAGTACATCTGATTGGCCTTTAAGCTAATGCCACATACTTACAGGTGCTAAATAAATATTTATGATTCATTTGAAATTGACATGTACACAATATATGTAACATCTGAAGGGCCAGCATATTTTGGTCTTGATGGAAATGAGAAAATAAAAATAAGAAACCATCTCAATTATTCAATACATGAAAGTTTGGTATGAAGAATTCAGATAAAAGGAACAAATAACTTCTTCAATTCTCTAATGTTAAATGAATACAAAATATTTTTCATATTGTATACAATATATTTTATAAATGTATTATCATTGTAGGGGATAATATCCCTGACTCTCCTGCTGCAACCCTACACGTGAAACTAGATGTATCACATGAGTTCTTCATTCAAACACAATAAAATACAACTGGAATGTAAAGAATATATTAGTATAATCAGAACTGAAATTAATAAGTCTTGTTTATTTACTACTAATAAATGTTTCTATGTTCAGAATTAAAATCTTTGCCTTCCTCTCTGTCATCTCCTAGCTATTTGCAGTTCTCATTGGTCCAGTTAAATAGGAGAATCTCTTTCATTACCAATGTCATAAGACCATGTTGTAATCTTCGGCCATTGGATGAACAATATGGCAGTATACGTAATGATACTAACTACTCAGATCAGTTTCTATCCCAGGATATGATACTGGGATATCATAAATAAATGAGACAGGCAAGAGTGTTAGGCAAAGTCATTTTAATGTTTGCATTTCTTGACCGTATACATAGTGCCATTTGTAAGAGTATTTAAATGCAGGAAATATAACTGGTCTCCTTCCAATAGCATGTCCTAAAAACAGAAAAATATGCTCACATTGTGAAATCTATTTTTCAAATATACAGAAAGAAAATATGAGTTAAGATGTTAGATCATTATTTGTTACACTTATCTGAATATCATTTTCTCTATTGTTATGTTTCTAAAGGTCAGTTCTTCTTTTTCACAATGTGTTTATATTTTACAGATTGTTTACAGTGGGAAAGAGTTGAACCATCCTTTTGGACTGTCACATCATGGGAATTTTGTATTCTGGACTGATTATATGAATGGTTCCATTTTTCAACTAGATTTGATAACAAATGAGGTGACATTACTAAGGCGTGAAAGACCACCCCTGTTTGGGCTTCAAATTTATGATCCGCGAAAACAACAAGGTATTAAAAAATAGAATTGCTTCTGAGTTTCACATATAATAATACTTCACAGTGGTTGCAAAAAGGCTTTATTTTGACAGCACTGCTAAAGTTTTGTGATAAAAAGTGTCTAGTCACCCTAAAGTCAATCAAATCTTAGATCTCGTTACCATAAAAATTTATTATTTATTGTTCAGAATAGTCCAAGTGCATAACTCTGGGAATTCTATTTGAGTGAAGTTCGAGGTTTCTTTCCAAAAACTTCCTTTTTCATTCCATCTTCACTGAAGAAGATTATTATTTAAAGAAAGAAAAAATATATTCTTAATGATTTCCAAGTATTCTGATCAGTAAGAAAAGCTTTTAGTGGGAAAAGAATGCTATTGGAACATATTTAAAAGTACATTATACAAGGAAAAATAGTATTCTAAAAAGTGTCTTAGTATATTTATCTGGTTAGTTTTCATGTACACTTAGGGAATATTTAAGTATTTTAGATGATATGAAAGTGAAATAATCTACTATGACATTCATGTCTTATTAATACCAGATAATATTGTATGTTTTATCTACATTAGTTATTAGTATTTACTAGGCCATACCCAAATAGCATTACTCAGAACTTAGGTACTAAACAAAGAACAGGTTTGTAAATTATATCATAGACTTTATTATTGTTCTTAATCATGGCTATTCCTTTCTTTTATGGAGATATCCTTGTGAAAATTTAATGAGCATACATTTCAATAACTTTAGGATGAAGAAATTATATCCCGACTTTTCAAAGCATATGTTTTCAATAGGAAGTTATCCAGAAATAGGAGTTTTTTGAAGATATTTCAGCTAAAACAGAGATTTTAAAAGCAAAGTATCTTAAGAGCTTCCTTTTCTTTTTTCTTCTGCATTGAAATTGCCTCACTAAGATACAAATGCAGTTTTGTAAATTAGTGGAAGTTTGTAAAGTGGTAAGACTAAATAGCTAATAAAATACTAAAGTATCTTTAAAAATGAAATTGAGATGGTATAGGCTATAGTTGTGGACAAGAAATGAAGAATAGAGACAATTGCCTGGGTAGATCAAATGATAATATTTTCTGTTACATTCATATCAACCCTGCTCCCCGCACCCCACCCCTGGACCACTGTAATTTGTCTACTCTAACTGGAGGCAAGACTATGAACAGAAACTACCCATCTAATGTCCTCTAGGGTCCTGTTTTCAGGACTGTTATTCCGTCTAATTTCACTATTTTTAGTTTCCTGAATTTCATTATACCAATTAATGTACAATCACATTTCCCATTTCCATTCTTTTTAAAAATTGTTCATCTTGAATGTCATTACTGAACTCCCTCTAGCCAAACTTCATGACATTTTCACAATCTCAATTCAAGGCAACACGTGGACTGAAAAATAGCCTGGCTTGCTCTAAAATGGACTTGGACTCAAATCTGGGTCCTAACACTTTCTCCTTCTCAAACTTGGGACACAGCATGAAGGATTTATTAAAGACAGGAAATGCTTTATTTATAAAGTTCCTGAGAGGTTTAAATAACTATTTGTTATATAAGAGTAAAATAGTACAGTGCCTAGCACACACTGAATATGAATTAATTATTCCTTACCATTTTTCAATCAGAAGGCATATATTTTTTAACTATCTTTCTGTATAAGCATTTTAACTGAATATTCAGAGGACTAAAGTGTCATAATCATATGCAACAAAGTACATGCCTCTGATAGAAATATGAAGAATGCATTTCTGTATTTATGGGGAGTATATCTGGTGTTCCAAACAGTGCCACTGACATGTAATTGTGAAATGCAAGTGCTTTTGTAAATTTGTAATTACATGGACATTAAAATGAAAACTTTTGTACCTGATTACTAAACTTTTATTCAACCTTTATTGTAGAAACATTATGTTCTGTATAACTAAGAGAATGTGTTTAGCTGTAAAAGCAAACTGATCAAATATTTTTCATTAATTTTGGTGAAATAATCAATTACTTGAGTTTTCTACCCAGTCTTCATGTAGCTAAGGATTGACTAGTACTTAACTGGATCTTTTGAGCAGACAATACGATATGGAAGGGATACCAGAACAACATCTTTTTCACTCAGTCAATAGACATTGAAATTGGATAACCTTTTCAGTATCTAAATCTTAGCATATTTTACTAAATTGACCAAAGCAGCTAGATTATGCAGCAAAATACATTGAGATGTTCAAATGCACACATGTTATTTTACCATGTTATAATTTTCTCTCTGTGGTATTTCTTTGTGCATCTTTTGAAGCTCAGATACTAATATTTAGAAACATCTAATCAGTGGCACATAAACATTGGTTATATACTGTCTTTGTAGACTGTTTTCTAAAGATAAAATAGCTGCACTGAGTCAAAAACCGAATCCCTAAGTAGTACAAATTACTATTTTTTAATGTGATGGAACTAGCTAGTCTTATATAGCGTTGTATTGTCTCTCCCTTTATTTCTTTCTCTTCCTCTCTCTCTGAGAAACTATGGTATATGATTGCATATATATATACACACTATATTTGCTTATATATAGTATTAATGCATATATTTCTGAGTATATATATATATATATATATACATATACACATAAATGATAGGTAGATAATATCACACACATCACACATACCACCCCACAGGAACACCATGGAAAATATTCAGGATTATTATTAATGTAACATCTAAATTCTTTTAGACTTGGCGTCAGATAATTACTCAGCTAATTTTGCTTCTCCAGATTAGGAAAGATTATTATAAAATTATTTGATACTATACCAGCTGATGTCAAGAAGGTAGATACATAACCATACTAAACAGAAAACTGTATCTAGAAATGAATTCCTAAGTAATTCTTAGAGATTTAGGGTCAAAATATTTTCAGATTTGCTACTGCTGTTTCTTCTGATTTAATGGGTAAGCTTTACTTCTTTTTCATTTGCATTAGATATCTAGAACAATTTTTATAACCTTCTCCTGAAATTCCTCATATAAAGTACAGCAGTTGTTAAAACTAACACACTTTTACTTTTTTATTCTCTAGATTTTGAAGCATACCTTTATTTTTCCCACATGTTTTAAAGAATGAGATAATCAAAACTAAAACTAAGTACAATATTCTAAAAAGGGTTAATGAATAGTATCCTATATTGAATTAAAAATAATAGATTAGCGTCTATGTCAACTATATCAAATTTATTAACTAATAATTAACTGAAGTTATAACTACCAATATGCTAAACTTTCTTATTAACACCTCACAAAAACCATTTATAATTGTTACTATTGATCAGGAAGATGTAGCCATTTGCTTTCAAGAAAAAAATGAGCCAGGGATAAACTGGGATTCAAATTCAGGTTTGTTTGATCACAAAGTAGTTTTATAAGATTAATTTATGTGGCCAATTTTATGAAAATTATATAGCTACTGTATTTTCAGATCGAAGGAAAATAATGTGGTTTTCTTTAGTCATTGTAGTTTTATTTTATTTTCAAAACATTTTCTTTTTAATATGAACTTCCCCTTGACTACTTTTGTAGAATCCAGGATTCAGAGATCTTAGGTTACAAAGCACTAGTATAACAGACACAGCAATTTTTATTTAATGCATGATATACTTTTTAGCCACATTATTTTATACATGTAGTATTTATGTTTAGTGATAGGGCCATCATCACAGACATTCTTTTCAATTTTCACATTTTGGAGATAGTCATCATCAAAAAATAACCCAAAATACTAAGCTCTTAATGGTACATGCTTACCTAAGTAGCTTCGAAGTAAGTCAAATGTGAACAGTCTTCAATGAGCATATAATTCGACAAGAGAGGAAAAAGAGACGTTTTATCCTCTCCTCAGATTGATTGATATCATTCAGATTTGGTTTCTGAAATTATCCTAGATGAAATACATACTTTACCTGGACTCAGGATCCCGTTCCACTAGACTAGTCTTTATCCAACTTTTAGAATGAGTGTGGAGTATAATTCTAATTTCAAGCCAGACTATTGCTTCATTAAATAGAAAAAAAGAAAATCCTTGCAGGTTTTTCTGTTTTATATTTGGTGCAGAAACTTCTCTCTTTACACATGATGCAACTCTGAGAGGTAATCAGTCCAAGAGACACATGGAAAAGGGGATTTCTTCCTTCCACCATTTTGAAGAAAATTCAGACAAAGGGAAAAATGACAGTGGGATTCCTTTGTGCTGATGGTTTATGCATTCTTCCATTTCTTAGAGATAAAAATTAATTTATTAACAAAGGTTAAATTACTAAGGTCTATAAAAATTCATATATTAATATATGCTTGTGAAATGTTATTTCATTTATGTCTATTAATGTTGCATGAAAAGTGTAATATGCTTTAAAATAATCCACCATGAAATGCAGTGTGTAGACAGAATATATACAAATACTTACACACAAATGAGAAAAGTCCCTTTATCTTGTTAAAACAGACTTTTATCTCTTTACATACTTGTACCTTTCATCTACATCCCCAGGTTATTGTTTCTGTAATTCAGATTGCTAACTAAAAGTATCATATACATCATTCATTCATCAGTTCAACTAATGTTTATCAAACACAGACTCTGTGTCAGACACTGTAAAGGGAAGAATAATTCTACTTCTCCAAGATATAAAACTTGGGGGAAAAAACAAAGCTTTCGGCCTAGATAAAGCATTATCTTACACTTAATTTTAAAGCTACTGCTCATTTGTTTTCCTTGAATATTCAATTTTTTAACAAGTGTTTGCTTCCAAAATAACTTAATCTGGGATTCATTTTGTTGTTTTCAGTATGTTAATTTTCAATCTTTTGTTGATATTATTTTATCTTGTCATATATAAATAAATGTGTGAGTGTAAGTACATATATTTTAGATTAAGGAAAAATCTTTTTCTAATTATTTAGAAATGGTGATATAACAGTAATATTATTTTTGCTCTCTAGAAAAAACAATAATCCTTATCCTAAGTCCTTATTTTAATAAGGATTATTTCTTATTTGTAGATATTAGAAAAGTCATTTGAATCCTTAAATCTTCAGTAGTCCTTCCTGCAAATAAGATAAAACCTACCTTATTAAGTTTATTTCAAAAATTAAATTAAATGTGTATGTAAGGTAACTAGCCCTGTGATTGGTATATTATGGATTTTTAGTAATAATAGGTACCAGTATATTAGTGAACTCTTTCATCAATATTTATATAAAAATTTTTAATGCCATTTGTGCTCACTTAATCATGTTTGCGAGAGAATATTTTTGCATGAAAAGTTTCACAAGCCACTAGAAATCCAATAAAAACATCACATAAGCTCTATCTGGAATATGTTCAAGTAATAAATTTAAAAATATATTCAGATACTACTAAAATAAACAAGATTTAAGCAATTCCAATGAGAGATAAGGAATTATTCAAATTAATTTAGATTTTGGATTTCTATCCTGACAAGACAATACCAGTTCCTCTCTTATACTATATAGTGTTCACACAAAGGGAATATATTTAAAAGTTTCAATAATGGTACTTTATTTCTATATACTTAAATTTCATATTCAGTGAGAATGTTAAGTATGAGCCATGCTTCTGAATTAAAGAAAATGATACTTAGAATACACTTTCAATATGAATGTGTGTCCTGATGTGTTGTTTTCAGTGCTTTCTTATTTCTTACTCTTTTAAATTTTTCATATAGCTCTCAAAATATATTTAGTTAATTCTAATTTTCCAGAATCTAAATGTTATTAATATATTGAACATACAATTTAAACTTGTATATAATGTGCACAATAGAGACAGAACATTTAAGAATCCTATGAAATATTATTTTTATTCCATGATCTTGGAATAAACATGACTATATCTGGAAGCTACCTTCTCTGCTGGAAAAAGCTTGAACTAAGCTTGATTATCCTCTGAGTTCAGAAATTGATGCTATAGCTTGAATTATTAGCTAACTTACTTTTCAAGTGTATTTTTGTGTTTTATAAATATAGCAAATTTAATTTACTTCTGAGAATAATGGAAAGAAACAGTTATATACTTTAGGTCATTTGTTCTGATCTGTGAGCACACAGTGATAATCTATGGGAATGAGTTAAATATTTATTGACATAGCAACATTCTGTCTTTTATTTTAAACTCCTTTCTTAATATTCTCTGCACAGCGCAGCCAAACTCTGAAACCTACAGTATAATAACCTAATCTGTCACTTTGGTCACATTTTTGTCACTTGTGCTTTAACTGCCAATACAATTTTAATCATTGTATTATTTTACTGTACATCTCCAAGTAATAAAAAGCTCTTTATTTTTAATGTTTGAGTAAGATCTTCTGATATAACCAAAATGTTATTTATTGATACCTTGAAAAATGCAACATAGTGTAAAATGACCCTGACATTTTCACTGCCAAGTGGATTGCTATTGTTGTAGAGTTTTTTGTAAGGATGTACTCATAAATATCCAAATAAATAAATATACTTTCTTCCTTGCCTTTCCAACTTGAAGGAATAAATGACAACAGAATGGTGATTGCCTTAATTATATTTGCTCTGACTTATTACACATTTATAAAAATGGCTGTCCTGACTCTTCAGAATTTGACCTGTCTTATCTGACACTCCAAGGGTGTTCTCATATATGTTCATGAACAATACCTTTATGAGTTTCCTGTCCTGCATGCTTTACTGATGTCTGGTACATGCCTCACCAGTGCCTCTGCTGTTCAGCTGTGCTGGGAGAACACCTTTACCCTTGGTACTAGCAAGGCTGCTCCTTTGTAAGGCTTCACAGCTCTCCTTTGCCTGGTGATTGTGTTGCCGGGCAGCTGTGTGTGGGGAGATCTCTCCCTGAGCACTAGGTGAAGCACTAGGAGAAACCTGGACCTGGCCAGGGGAGAATTCTTGACTCTGGATGAGAAAGAATTCTCGAACAGGTGGGAAAAGTATAGGTAAGGAAATAATTCATTAAAGCAAGAGTAGTAGGAAATGATAGCTGCCCTCTAGGTGGCTGAGAACAGGGAGAGATTCCGGAGAAGCCCCCAAAAAGATAATACCAGGGTTCTTGTTGACGGAGTCGAAGAATGAACTTTGCAAACTCTCAAGGTAGGCAAGCGAGAAAGAGGATTTCTAATGATAGAGAGAAGTAAAGATACAGAACCCCCAGGCACATGCTGGGAGGGGAAAGGCTGCCGTTTATGGGCTCAGGTCTAGGGGTTTTACGCTTGTTGCATCAACGAGGGAGAGAAGCTGTTTGTTTTCCATAGGTTCCTGTCAGAATGCCAGCTATATTTTAACCAATCATTCTAAAGGTCATTTCTATTTTAAGCTAGTATGCTATGTGAGCTACCTGACTTATAGTTGTAAAATGCTTCTTTATCACCGGAGGTTCGGTGGGAACCCTCTTATAAACTGCTGCACTGTTTTGGCTGTAAGTTTCCTGTTTTTCCATTCCTAGGGTCCTCAGTAAACATCTCGTTTGTCATTCCCAGAGCTCTTATCTTGCTCTTATCTCATTCTTCCCTGTCTCACTTGTTTGCTTTCTCTTCACTTACGATCCAAAATCACATTCCCAGTGCTGGTGGTCTGCTTTCCAAAGAACTCAGAGTTGAATACATGGGACCCAGTCTGGGAAATTATCATGAATAGACAACATTCTGTCTGCTCTGTCCTTCCTCTCTCCTGGTCCCTATCTGCACACAGACCTCTGTGTCCTCCAATGAACATGCAAATTCCTCTTATCTACCAATGCATCATATATTTTGAAACATTTCTGAATTTCACCTCATTAGTACTCAGCAGGAATCCTGACTACATTAATGAATAGGTAACACACATATACATATGTGTGTGTGTGTGTGTGTGTGTGTGTGTATGTGTGTGTGTATAAATTTTTATTCTTACCTGTACCTTCTAAAAAGAACCTGAACCTGAACTGGCTAACTTTGGGTGTAATCAAAGTTCTCTGACACATTTGCTTTTCTCCTCTTGCAGGTGACAATATGTGCCGAGTAAATAATGGAGGCTGTAGTACATTGTGCTTGGCCATTCCAGGAGGCCGAGTATGTGCTTGTGCAGATAATCAACTTTTAGAGGAAAATGGAACAACTTGCATATGTAAGGTTTTTTTCTTGTTACACTCATTGTTTACATATGTCTTTCTCAAAAACAGGTGCAGATGAAACCAAATAAACTAAAATCACACTTAGAAAGAGAAATTTACAAAAATGTTAGGTTCAATTCTTTTTACACTACAAATAATTAACTGAATTAATTTTTAATATACAGATGAATAATGATAAAGGTGAAGTTTTGTGAAGTATCCTGTCACCATTGCATATAATTTAGTAAAATACATAAGTGCATATATGCCACAGAAGAAACTATTTCATGAAATTGTCAGGGAACCTCACCATTAACAGTTGTAACCCTCTATGTTGATTACATAGATGATATGCTGATGTACATCATAGGCTTTAGATTACTTTAAATAGTTTAATGAGCTCAGTTATTTATATTTGGTGATGAATAGCAGGGAATGAGGTAAAAAAGAGACATCTAGGAAAATTCTACACTTCATCAATATATTGAATTGGCTGGATTAATGGAGCTGGATTAAAAGCACTTTATTAATGTTTGCTGACCTTCCTCAATTTACTGCACCTTGTTACTCCAGTGTGACCCTTTTGAAATCTTACCTCTCTGTACATGCCAGGTCTCATAAACATGGTAACAGCAACAATGCCATGCATATATTGAGTACTATAAAAACGTTTCTGGGATTAGTTAATTTTGAATTGTGTGTCATGATTCTCCAGAGGAACAACCAAGAGGGAGTGTACAGATATATATAGAGAAATATAGTTGTTATGAGGAATTGGCTCATGTAGTTATGGATGATGAAAAGTCCCAAGACCTGCAGTCAGCAAGCTGGAGACTCAGGAGCGCCAATGGGGCAGCTGCAGTCAGAATGCCAGCAGGCTGGAGACTCAGGGAGAGCTGATGTCCCAGTGTGAGTTCAAAGGCAGGGAAAAAAGCCAACATCCCAGTTTAAGGCCGTCAAGCAGGAAGAATCCCTCTAACTTGCAATAAGGAAGAGCTTTTTGATCTAGTTAGGCCCTCAATCGATTGGATAAGAGTCATCCACATTAGGGAAGGCAATTTGCTTTAACTTAGTCTGTGGATTCAAGTATGAATCTCATCTAAAACACTCTCACAGCCACACCCAGAATAATGTCTGACCAAATGTCTGGACACTCTATGGCCTAGTCAAGTTGACACATAACATGGACCATCACAAATTGTGAAATAAATATTTCATGTATATTTTCTGTCAGTTATAATGATTGTTTCTGGGAAAGCAGAAGGACAGATAAGTGTAATAAGGAAGACTTCAACTTACCTGCAATGCCTTATTTCTTCTGAAGAAGAAAAGATGTGGATAACGGATTTCTAAAAACTGACTGAATAAGTAGTAACATTTGAGAAATATAAAAAAAATAAAGTGACTAATCTACACATAGCTGCCACTATTCAGCAACAATTTCCTAAGAGGTTTTGATGGGATTTCTTATAGTTATATTTCCCTGGACGTTATTATGTTTTTACTACTTCTAATAATAATCATAGTTAACACATTGAATTCTTACACTGGATGTGGCATTTTGTAAAAAGTTTTCATGATTTTCATTAGTCTTTATAATAATCATATAAGGGAGATACTATTACTATCTCATTTTATTATTTAGAATTTAGACTTGGGGGTTAATAACTTTTCAAAGTTCACATAATTAGTAAGTGGAACATTTGGAATTTAGACCCAAAATTCTTTTTTGGAGATTGTATTCTTTATGTTATACTTTAGAAATTTTGGATCATACTACATACTACAGTATAGTTTAGTTTGTCATTTATTTTTACTTAATATGCTTCTTATCATGTAACTAAGTATTCTTTGTAAACATGATGCTTAAAAACGATTGTAACCGCACCTGCTTTTTAAACTATATTCATTCCCTACTTAACATTTGGTATTATTCTGATGCATTATTATAGGCTGACTGTGTATTTCATTACTGTTTATCAATCCTTCTCCATTTTACCTCACCATCCATGGTCAGTTCATTACATCTTATTCAGATCTTTTTTAAGCATTTCAAATAATACCACCAGTTTTAAATTTTATCACCATTATTTTTGAATTTTCAGCTATTTGAGATGAGGACTTTGGTTTTCTTTATATTATTTTCTCCATCTTCCTCAATTCCCATCCATATTATAATTTAGAATTTCTGACAAGGAGTATTATTTTGAATCATGAAACAGTGAGTCTCTTTATAAAAATGTTTTGACATTTACGGCAGGTTTGTTGATCACCTTTACAATAGTTTCTTTAAGATCTGAATTAGTGCTTCACAAGTTGTATTGCTTAGTACTCAGACTTTTTGTTCCCCATTTTTTATGTATTGATTTTCACTGATCTTTAGGATAGATGGAATTATCTTGAAGTGACTTCTTCAAGAAGAGTGCAAGGAATGTATACTGTGGAGTTCCTGTGTATGCTACATATGTCCCCTCTGCCTTTATATGTGGATAGCAATTGTTCTGGATATTAATCCTTAGCTAAACAAACATTTTCTTCAAAATTCTTGAAGTATTCTTTAATTCTACACTGGATAATATACTTCAGAACACAAATATGAATTTCACTTCCATGTGCAAGGTTTTATCCCCCCATTATGAGTATTTTTTAATTGCCTATAAGACAATTTCTGTAGAAAATAATTCTCCGAGGTGTACTTTCTTTGAATCATAAGGTGGTTTTCCTTTCTTTGTTCTGTGGTATTATTTTGTAATTCCTATTTTGTTGTTGTTCATTTATCATCAGAAGAGATTTTTCAAGACCATAGTCTGCCAATAGACAGGAATTAAGCATTGCTTTGAATGACTTGAAGTCTATCCAGTTGCCTGTTAAGCTAAACCTTATCTTAGTTATTGAGAGAAAAGATACAGATTATGTGCACATTTCCTGGTTTAATTTTTATTTTCTACCATAGATTCATCTAAAACTATGTTCCTGGTAAAAAATGAGACCTTTTGCTATCCCAGCTAAATGACTCTGCTATTTTACAGATGAAAAGCACACATGCCCGTGCACGCACATACGCGCGCGTACACACACACACACACACACACACACACACACACACACACACACACCCCTCCTGCCTTTGCTTTACCCCCCAGACTTCCTCTCTCACTAGTTATCTCCTTTTTTGGTAGGTCCAGAATGTGCAGTCAGTACTGTAGAAGCAAAGAGTCTCTCTTCCTACCTAAAGACACCCAGGCTTATTCGATTTCTAGTGGCATAACTCAGAGAGGCCTCTTATTAAGCATTTAAATCTAGTCCTTTTGGTCTTGTAAAAGTAGTCGAAATTCCTTAACATAGTGTTAACAGAATGACTGAGAGGCCTCAGGGATCTTGTGAGTTTTCATTGTTCATCTTTGTTTTCACAGTGAGAAGTTTTCATAGGGAGAATGTATAAATCAGGTACTAGTATCTAGATGGATTTGAAGCTTGAAAGTTTCTAATTAGTTCTTTAATTTTAATTGCATGAATCAGGATTATCTGAATCATTGGCCTCCTTAATTTATTCTTCAGTCTATTGCTCCATTAAAAACTTACTGTTTATTTTTGAGTTGGCATATATATCTATGCCTATATTGATATAGAAAAGATATTGATCACTGAATATCTCTGTGTAAATAAAAATTGGGTGAATTTTGGCTTTTCCTTATGGAAATACCTTGAACAATGTTGATCATACTGTTGATACTAGAATACTTGTTACTGCACACATGTGATTATACATCTGAAAAAGAGGAAATTTTTCTTAGACTATTGGTGTCTTTCTAATACCTGTAATTCATTGATGAGGTAAGCCCAATATAAGAAAAGTGGATAAGAAAGATTATTTTATCTTACACTTGTTACAGTAAACAATGTTAAATCAACAAAAGCAGGTGAGTTCATAATTGAGAATTTTTTATTGCATTTGACTATTAAAGATTCTGCTAGTCTTTAATATGGCATGCAACTTGCCCTTATAAAGGGAAAAAATCAAGAGAAACAATACAGTAACTCATTTCTTGCCAAGAACTCAAAGTGGTTTTATATAAATTAGTCCAGTACCTCTTCATTTAATGGTAAAGTTTTTAAAGGACATTTTAGTCTTAGTTTGCAGATGAGGGAATTAAAGTGCAAAATGACTACAAATAGAGTTCACAATTGCAGAGTATAGTGCAAAACAAATATCACTGTGTCACTAACCTCTCATTTATTCTGATTCCTCTGGGTTTCTGATTTAGTTCATGCTGGCTTATTGTATTGTAAGATAATCTCAATTGGATTAATTCTATACTCTGAGCTAAGAAGCAAGACAAAAATATGAGTTGCAATCATTGAGATACAATTGTTCCAGTTTCAGTCATCTTCACGGAACTGACATCAAATGAAAAAAAGCCCATTGGCAGATGGTCAGGTCAGAATTAAACACCAATGGTCATTTCTCAATGAATTTACAGCATAAGGCTATGCCAGAAGAGGCATTCACCCAACAGAAAAATAGTGGCACGTTACATGATTAATTAAGGATGAATTCTAATGTCATGCCTGGAAGGGATCAAGAATGAGAGTAGGCTGGACTCTTTCTCCTTGGGTATCATGTGTGTCCTGGTCAAATCCCTTCACAATTAGAAATGAGGCCTGACATAGTGTAGGAACTTGGAGCTTACTGCCCTGGAAAACTGCATATAAAGCTACTTGATCAATTATCAAGGAAGATTTTTTTTGTTGTTTACTTTGACACCTTTGTGGAAAAAATTACAACATAGAAAATTAATAAGTAAGGGCATGGATAATCTCAAGAAAGTAAGTTAAGCTCCTAAAAAAAATGATAGTCACTATTTTTTAGAACAGCAGGATAATTTTGTCTAGAGTAATGAGTTATTAATTCTTTAAATGCCTCTTCAGTGGCCTGAAAAATAAGATGGAACTTTCTTGTATGTTTTACTCCCAAGAGAGCAAGTTAAACATTGCAAAAATTTTGGTCATCCAA